GCAAAGAGGACTGGATCGAATGCCTGCATCTGAACGTGTTTAAGGAGAGGTGCAGGAAATCGAGATTGAACTGCTTTTCTGCATCTCTGCATAAAACACATCCAGATTCAGGCATTCGATCCGATCCTCTTTCCTAGTGGGACCTCGGCCCGGGCCCACTTCCGGGCTGTCTGTCATCAGCCTGACAAGCATTGTCACCAATATTTGCCTTTTTTTTTTTTTGTTTTGTTTTTTTGTTTTTGGGAACATTTCTAGATTAATGTGTGTCAGCGCCATTTGCTGCGATAAGTACAGCAGCTGTATCGCGACTAGATTTCTGGGTTGTCGCGATCGCGACCGTTCCACTGGTGTGAGTCGGGGACGATCGCAGGTACCCCGGCGCCGCAAGAACGCCGAAGGGGTTTGTTTCAGGGATGTCAGCGTGTCTCGCTTTTTCTTTTTTTTTCCCCCTTCGGTGCCCCGTTTGTGCTTGCTCACGTTTTTTTGGGGGGGGTATACCTTTCTCGGCCTTTTGGCTAAAGATCAGTTTGTAGTATCTGTTCTAATCAGTTTAATTAAGTAAAAATAAAAAATACAATATATATATTATATAGATATTTTGGGGGGCTCATTTCCTAAACCTGGAACATTCACCAACCGGCCTACCGGTAGCTCAGCTGGTACACCCCATGAACAGCTGAAATACAGACCCAAGTTCGAATCGAGATGCAATCAGATGAACAGAATAAAATAATTCTTAATTACCTTTGCGGCCTTGCCGGTCAGCTCAATGATGATACCTCAAAGCCGTCGACCTTTTTTTTCAAAAAAAGGAATAAACGAACTTCAACCATTATTTGACTTTTTTTTTTTTTTGTCTTTTTTTAATAAAGGGCGACGGCCTTGAGATATCATCATTAAGCTGACCGGCCCCAGGTAATTCAGAAATAGTTGGTTCTACAACTTTTACTCGTCAACTTCCATCATCATTAAGCTGACCGGCCCCAGTTAATTCGAACACGGGTCTGTCTGTATTTCTACAGTTCATGGGTGTACCCACTGAGCTAGGCTCTTGGGTCACTTCAACCATTATCGATCTATGTTTGTCATGCTTTTTTGTTTTTTTGTTTTTGTTTTTGTTTGTTTGTTTGTTTGGTTGCTTGGCATGCTTGAATGCGAAGGGGCCATGTTAATTACTTAGCGTCCTTTCTGTACCGTTCCACAGGGCGGAATGGTACACTCTTAAACTGCTAACAGGGGTTCGAATCCTTCAGGAATGAAACAATAGATCGAGATGGACCTGGGACTGGTCAGGATTAGATAATGACACGTTTTTATCTTTTTCCTTTTTTAAGGATGATGATGATGATACATCAAGGTCGACCTTTTTTTCGGCCCTTTTTTTTTCTTTTTTTCTTTTTTCTTGGTGTGTGTGTGTGTGTGTGTGTGTGTGTTTAAGAAGAAAGATTTTTCGCTATAACTCCCCAAATACCTGGGGCTAGGTCCCACTAGCAAAGAGGATTGGATAAATCCCCTGAATCCGGACGCGTTTTAAGCAGAGATGCAGAAAAGCAGTTCAATCTCGATTTTCTGCACCTTTCCACAAAAAAGTCCAGATTCAGGCTTTCAATCCAATCCGCTTTGCTAGTGGGACCTCGCCCCTGCATCAGCCTGTTCCGGCTCCCCTGTCGGAAACTAGATGGATCGCAAGTTGACAATACAGCCCCGTATTTATTATTCATATAATTGGATTTACGTCCAGGTACATTATGAGACGTAATTCAGCAGCAATAAAAAGTGCAAAGATCGTTGGATTAAGCATGCGTTTTTTTTTTTTTTTTTTTTTTTTTTTTTTTTTTTCCCCCCCCCTTCTCGGATTCAAAATTTGGATTATTAAACAGTTGGATCATTAAACATTCGGATGAAATATCTGAATTACATTTATTAAACAGCTGGATTGCACAAACTGAATTATAAAAGCGTGGATTCGAAATTGCAGAGACCGTTGGATTGAACATACGGATTAATACTTTTTTTTTTTTTTTTTTCCCTTTAAGAATTCACTCGGACTAATCAGTCGGATTATTAAAAAAATGTTTTAAACACTTGGGACTAAACCTTCGGATTAAATACCTGAACCAAAGTTAATAAACGGCTGGATTGCACAGCTGAATTATAAAAGAGAGGATTAAACAGGTATTTTATCCGACGGGTGGATTAAGCAGCGAAATAAAGGGTTGGGCTCAACAGTCGGATTAATTAGCATAGGCCCTCCCTTTTTTTTTTTTTTTTGTAACAAATTCATTTCCTCTTTGTGGACCGTTGCAGTTTTTCTGAAGAGATTTCTGAAGAGATGTTCCCAACGACAGCAGCCAACGTTTCAAGACTGGATAAGACGGGCGGGAAAAAAAGAAAAAAAGAAAAAAGAAAAAGGGCAACACGAGTACAGAGAAAAACTGCCCTAAAGGTCCGACAGCCAAATCCAAAGAAAGGTCAGAAAACGGATGACAAGAAAAGGCCCAAATTCAATGTCTGACAAAGAAGACCTAAATTCAGTGACAAAAAAGAGCCTTTTTTTTTTCTTTTTTTTTTTTTTAATGGCCCGATGGACCACGGATCAGATATTAAACAGATCAGAACAGATACTACACTTGATCTTACTTAGCCAAAAGTCCGAGAAAGCTAGGCTACCAGAGTGGCCCGGGGGCACTTGCACGGCCGGGCCAAAAAAATTGTTTTTTTTATAAAAAAAATACATATTGTATATATTACATATATATTATATATATTACACATATATATATATATATATATCGTCACAAATAGAACTGCCCGGTAAACCGTAGGCAGAGAGAGAGAAGAGGACAACAAACGAGGGGCTGTGTATAAGATGAGTCGGTGAAACTCCGACGAAACAGTTTGTCACAGCCCCTCGTTTGTTGTCCTCTTCTCTCTCTCTGCCTACGGTTTACCGGGCAGTTCTGTTTGTGACGGTATATATAATATATATATATTTTAATTGAATTTTAATTTTTTATGCTAAATTTGGTGAGGAATTTCGATGTGACCGTGAGGCAAAAGTTGTTCAGTTTATTTTTCTGCATATCATAGTTTTTTTTTCGGAGTTTATGGATTTAGTTTTTTTTGTTTTGTTTTTTTGCTGGGACCTTCCCTGGTCCTTGCACGGGCTGGCCACCCGGGACCCGGGCGGCCCGGCTGGTAGCCTGGCGAGAAAGGTATTAAAGACCCAAATTTAATGTCTGTAGTAATCCGGTGTATTCCTCCCCCCCCCGGCAAAAAAAAAAGAAAAGTAATCCTGTGTATTTCCACGAACAATTGGCTTTTTTCCCCGTGCAATTCTCTTGGTTTTGCCTCCATACTCGACCTTATTGTTGCACCTGGCCGGAAACAGCTCCACGTACAGATTTTCTTCTTCTTTTTTTTTTTTGGTCACATATCTTTTTTTTTTTTTGTTTTTTTTTAATGTTGCAGTTCGGCCATCCATGTGCGTTCTGGCAGAAGGTATTGTAGCAAACAAAAAGGCAAGATCTACAGGCAATGCTGCCCCTCTCAGAACGGACAGAGGCCACATCCGTAAGATTGTTGATTTCCCCCTCCTCCCCCCCCCTGCCCCCCCCACAAAAAAAGTGAAAAGAAAAAGAAATAGCAAGCTCTCAGGCAGTGCGGCATATACCCCTTTCCCTTCTCTTCTCGTTCCACACCACTAGAAATTCCTAACTTTGCAAGGGCGCCCTAACTGGCCGAGGGTGATTAGTTTACATTAACTTGTTTTTTTGTTCCACAACACCCTACACTTACTCGCCCTTACATCTGAGGTGAGGAGGGCGGGTGTCAGATTTTTCGGTCTGTCGGCGTTGGATGTCCGTGAAGGCGGTTCGTTCTGCGACGGATGTCTGTGAAGGCGTTTCGGCGGACAAGAAGTTGTCCAGACCCACGGGCCCGCGGGACCTTGAAGGCGGTTCGTTCTGCAACGGATGTCCGTGAAGGCGTTTCGGCGGACAAGAAGTTGTCCAGACCCACGGGCCCGCGGGATTTCCAATTTGTGGGACATTTCCGGAAGGGCGGGCAGGCTACCGGGCGCGCAAAGGCGGGAGCCATCGCAATGAAAATTGCGAGCGGCAGACCGAATTCAAATTTGAATTCACGTGGCGACGGCTGGCGGCGAGTGAGCTTTGCGCACGCTTCAGCCTTCGGACTCTGTTCGCCATATCCCGCCAGGCCGTAAGCGATCTTTGCGCGTGTTCGCGGTTCGTTTGCAGCGATGGAAGACGGGATCGGGGATGCGGCAGGGGCAAGAAGGCTGACACCTAGGGAGAAGTCGCTGTTAGGAACGACCTTGCTTGCAGTTTCTCGGCACATGCAGACGGTGAACGACCTGCGGCGGGCCAGCGGACAAAACCGTGGTAGACGGGAGGCCGCCATAGCCCAGACTTTGATGGACGTGCACTCCTCGACAGGTCTGTGCGATGCGCCGTTCATGTTGTCGAATGCCATCATGGCGGGTGTGATGCCGAGGGAGACGCCGAGGTGGTGGGTGAAAAGAAGGACAAGTGGCACATGGAGGGACCTCAGCATCGCCGACGATGCAAGCGACAAGTATTTCCATGAGAAGCTGCGGATGACGCGGACGGTCTTCGATGATATAGTGGCGGCGTGCAGTCCTTTCTTTCAGCGCACTCTGACTCACTATCGGAAGCCATTGCTGCCCGACCATATAGTGGCGTACGCATTGTATCGGTGGGCGTCTGGAGAGACATTCGACAGCGGCACGTCGTCGTTCGGCATAGGGAGGTCTTCAGGCATCAAGGCCGTCGACGATGTTACAACTGCCATCTTGACCGCGTATCCGGAGAAGATCACAATTTCATCGGGTCGTCGTCTCCTACAGGTCCTCCGAGCGTTCAGCGGGAAAGGTTTCCCGAATTGCTTCGGCGCCATTGACTGCACCCACATTTATGTGGACAAGCCAGCTAACGCGCCATCCAAAAACTACTTTGATTGGAAGCAGCAATTCTCGGTCGTGGCGCAGGTTGTCGTCGACCACGACATGCGGATAATCGATGTCTTCGTCGGTTATCCTGGGTGCGTCCACGACCAGCGCGTGCTGCGGAACTCATCACTCATCAGGCGAGCAGAATCGGGCGAGATCTTCAATGCGGACCCCATCGTCCTCCCAGGAGGGGTGAGGACGACGGGGCACCTACTGGGAGACAATGGTTACGCGCCGCGGACGTGGATTGTCGTCCCGTACGGGGGCTCGGAGCAGGCGGGTGACGTGGCACTGTTTGACACGCGTCAGAAGATTACGAGAGGGGTCATGGAGAGAGCGTTTGGACGGCTGAAGGGGATGTGGAGGTTATTCCTTCGTCATCACAAGACGAATATGAATAACCTCCTGCAGCAATTCGTTGTTGTATGCATCATCCACAACCTCCTGCTCGAGGCCGGGGTTGCATTCGACAAGTTTGCTGCTAGACCGCGTGTGACGGACCCGCCGGGATGGCGGTCCGTCAGGATCAAGACGAAGGGATGAGGATGGGGGAGATGGAGATGGAGCAGGAAGGGACAGCGCAGCTCCAACGCAGACTCAACACGCACGTACTCCAATCTGTGCAAATGAAGAATGCTACAAAACAGACTGCAACTGGGGTATACCCCCAGCGGACTGACTGGACTGGACTGGACTGGCCTGGTACCGACAGTGGTACCGGGCAGGACTGGACTGGACTGAA